CATGCACTCATGATTCATGTACAATGTGACCACTAGCATATAAAGGAAGTAAATCTGGTCTGTTTTGAATTCATGTTGAGTTGACTATAAAGTGCGAGCCAACATATAGGTTAGTTGAAGTGGGTGGGGGGCATGTTCTCTCAGTCACATATCTCTGGAAATTTCCGTTGTATGTCTCCGTCTGCTCCAGGATGGGAGGGGTGTGCGTGTTATGGAGAAGTAGAGAGCAGTGGTTTGGGACTGGAGTTGGGGTTTGAGAGTTGGCCATGAGCCAGACCCAGCAGAAAGCTTGCTGGTTCACACGGACAAAAGCAGTAATGAGTTCCAAGGATGTCTGTGGTGGACATGACTGTCATCATCCACCCCAACCCCCTTCAACAGTGTCCGATCCATTGTAGACAAGACCTAAGTTCTGAGAAAAAACTTTAAATCCAATTGTTAGTTATGTATCTTCTATAGATTAGTATTTACCTGAGCTTGTGGAAAAACTGATTCATTATGTGGCTGTCTCTTGATTTTAAGGTGGTTGTCAGTATATTATCAAGGTATAAAACAGACTTTGGCCACCTCAGGTGCCCTTTTTTTTTTTTCTTTTACCATGAATTTCATATATTTTTTTAAGTGTGTGGTTACTCTGTGTGAACTTAAAATGACTTACATTCACTAAAAATCATCTTGAGACCAACTGGTTAAAAATCAGAGCTTAAAGGGGTCATATGATGCGATTTCAATTTTTCCTTTCTCTTTAGAGTGTTACAAGCTCTTGGTGCATAAAGAAGATCAAAACTTTGTAAAGTTGCAAAGACTAAAGTCTCAAATCCAAAGAGATATTCTTTATAAAAGTTAAGAGTCAGCCACACCTACCTAAAACGGCTCGTTCTAACACACCCCCACATACCTACGTCACTATGTGGGAAGATTTGCATAACACCGCCAGGTTGGTTTTGAGAAATGTCACTTATTTTGATATTTCGATATTTAATTCAAAGCGTTAATTTTAAGTGTGATTTAGGTGTCAAAATAATTTCTGGGACGACTGCATTGATTTTGAAAGAAGTATTTACAGAATTCACTACTTAACAGAAACACAAAAGTTTTGAACATTTTCACTGTGGTTTTTGTCCATAATGAAAGTCATGTTGTTTTGACCCCAACGTTCTTCAAAATATCTTCTTCTGTGTTTCAGAAAAGAAAGGAAGTCATACAGGTTTGGAATGACATGAGGGTGAGTAAATAATGACAGAATTCTAATTTTTGGATTAACATTTTGGATCTCTTTTAGCAATTTGCACTGTTACAGATAAAATACATAGAATAGAATAGAATAGAATAGAATAGAAAGTGTGTTCATCAGCAATCAGCTAAGGCCGGTGGAATTTATTCCACTTACTTACAGTGTGATGGCACATATGTGCTGCATTGCATCTTAAGTTACAGGGACGGTCCCACTGGAGCAACCTAGGGTTAAGTGCCTTGCTTAAGGGCACAATGATGATACAAAGTACAAAGATTGCCCTTATAACCTACAACCTGCTTTCACTGCTCCCGATCTTTATCCACAAAGCCACATTAGAGAAACCAGTGTTTGACAGAGGTCTTTTAAAAGCTCAAGTACACACTAGCACAGGTCAGAGGATGTTTTTCTAACCCGAATTGTGCTCGCAGTTTTTCAGTGTATGGTTTGGAGCAACACAGATGACCCCCCAAAATAACATCATCTTCTCTAAAAGTATGTACAAATTGCTTTTGTGTTGCAGACAAGGTTAGTACTGCTCTTCTATTCCACTGCAAGTTGTGTGCTTGTACTTCTTTTCATTTACCAAATAAACATGCTTTGATCCTAGTTAACACTTCATGCTTATCACAATGGGACTGACTCAACAGTTAAACTAAATGTTTTAATTAAACTGTGACGATCTTTATTTGATGAAGTCTGTGCTGCAGGGCAGCTACAGCTCGCCCACATAGTGTTATGAAAGTCTTTCAGATGCCATTGCTACCTCCTCATAGTACAGCTTTATTTATTTTTATATGTGTGTGTTTCTATAGTGACAGTGCTGGTAGCACTCGAAAACAGCACAGCCCCCTCATTCCTTGAGAATGTTGACATGATGCTGTTTTCACACCTTCACCAGCATACACTCAAATATTAGAAGGACTCCCAAAATTTACATTTTCATTCATCATGAAAAAAAGACTACAAGAATTTTTAAATATTACTTTAGAGGTGAACAACCCATAGGCATCAATGAGCTACTGAGTATTTCAGAGTTTTGAAAGGGGTCATATAATGGTACATGCACTTTTACAAGTTGTTTGAACTGAAATGTGTGTTGGCAGTGTGTGTACACAACCACCCTATAATGATAAAGATCCACCCAGTGTTTTTAATCTGGTTAAATGTTTTCCCCTTTCTCAAATCGAGCCGATCTCAGATGCCTGTCTGTGTGACGTCACATTTTTTACACTACCATTGAGAAATATTAACCAAACTATGTTACAGACTTTTCATTAAGACCCTAAAGAATCATATCAACTTGTGGAAAATGGGCATCCTATGACCCCTTTAAGGAATTCACCCAACAATGAAAATTTGTTGAAAATGTACTCCCCCCCTCAGGCCATCCAAGATGTAGATGAGTTTGTTTCTTCATCAGATTTGTAGAAATGTAGCATTGCATCAGTGTCTCAGCAATGGATGCTCTGCAGTGAATGGGTGCCGTCAGAATGAGAGTCCAAACAGCTGATAAAAACATCACAATAACCCAAATCGCCTCTGGCCAAAATACCACTATAATCCATAATAGGGCTTCCTCCAGTGATGACATCAAAATCCACCAGCATTGGTTTAGATCTGTTTTAGAGTGTTTTCACTTGTAAGCGGTGCCTGATCTGTGCAGATTTCTTTACGGATTCAGACGAGTTCATTTTCAGCAAATTTTCATTTTTGGGTGAACTATACCTTAAAAAACCCTTTAAACATAAAGCCAAGCAAGAAACCAAAGAAAGTTAACAAATACTGAGGCTAAAAAAAAACACTTTAATCTGGTCAGATTGGTGCTTTGGTTGAGTTATAGTACCTTTGAGTCATGTTGGCACAAATGAACCATGAAACATGAATATTATCAAGTTTTATCAATTTATTTTTTTAAGATGAAAGGGGAAGATACTGTGTGTGCTTGTCAAAGCATCATAGTGGTTTTAGTAGTGAAATTAGTTTATAATATATCAGTGGACATCATATTATTCAAAACGGAGTATATACAAAGTAACTGTGCTGTGCATGATGTCTCTTCATAACTGCAGTTCATTGAAATAAGTGGTATTATTTGAGAAGTATGTTGAAGACTTCTCACAAAGCCTGTCAGGTCTCATGTTCATCTTGCCCAGAGTAATAAAAAGAAAGCAAAGAGGGCAAATCTGTCTCCTTGATTGTGTATCAGTAAAAATGTCTAGATGATACTGACAGTAACAGTTGAGCGTCATGGGCTCAATTCGCAAAAGCTGAAATCTGAAATAAAAAATGAATGCTATGTAAGTCACTTAAACGCATCTGCCAAATGCATAAAAATGCAAAATGTAATACTTTAAATTCTTTCAAAAGACTACAGCTTTAAAACAAATGGTCACAAATAGCAACAGGTGAGCCAAAAAGCTTGATTTATAAATACACAAGCTCTGACCAAAACCAGGCTGATTTAAAATTCTGAATTCAGTTCCCTTATAGTAGTTCCTGTTCCTGAAACAACACACCTGCCAGCTACCTCTGCATCTGACAGCTGTCCGTAACAAGACAGGAACGACTGCAACATTCATAACTTCCTGACTGCTGTTTGTAAAGATGTATAAAGTATACACATTTAAAGCTGGCTGTCTGGATATCTTTCGAGTCCTCAGTTTACTTTACTCAGGAGGTAATACATGCAAACATATGATATGAACATGCAATGGTCCACTGACTAATGAGTTAATGGCAGATGCACTGACCGCATTTTATAAGCTTAATTTCGGCTTTCATTTACATGTTTTGGCTCATTGCATATAACACTGGTTTCTGCCATGGTCATTCACACAAGTCAGTCAGCACTATAATCACAGGTGATGTATCAGATGTCAACAATTAACTGATATGATGATCCAAACAGAATTTTTTAATAATACAGATGTTGCAAATAATAAAAGCACGTTTATTACATAAGGCTATTATGAAATAATTACGATAGTCTTAACTAATTCAGATTAAAGTTTTCCTCTTCTAAGATTTAAGAATGGTCTAGAGCATGCCCTGAATAGTAATTATGCATTCATGATATTAATATATTCACGCAGCTCAAACATTACAACAATTACAACGCAACTACATCATGTCATAAATATTCTATTAATGACTTCTGATGGCACGATTGCAATAGCTTCACATTTCCCGAGTGGGTGTTAAATTGAAAACATCTCTGGCGTGGGTCACCTGTCGGCACTGCGGGAAATTTACATAAAGCTCTCTGGCAGCAGTGACTCTCGCAGGCATTGTTTACATAGCAACCCAAAATAAAAACATTTGCTTTGTCACGAGCGCTTATGCATTTTTCATTGCATTGTGATTCCTCTTGGAAACAGAAGCAGAATGGCTACGCAGAACCCCGATGGGAGGTGTGGAGGGGCCGTCTTTGATCTTTAAATACCCTCTACATTACAAACACACTCCATCGCTTTGATTTCTCAAGGCGCGACTGCAACATTCAGACGCTCCCTAAGCGCGCCACATCGCCTTTTCTTTTCTTTTTTCCCCCCTTCGCTTTACCATCTGTCCCTTTCTTCCATTTCACGCAGAAGCAGCGGACACTCGCCCTTCAGATGTGTGCAGCCGTATCTCCCCGCCTCTCTTTCTTCTCTCCTCCCGCTGCAGTCCCTTTCTTATCCCATCGGATTCGCACTTTGCAGACGCTCCCTAGCGCCGACGGTTTCCCCCCTCCCCCACGCGCAAAGCTCCTGGTTCACTCAAAGATGGCGTCGGCTCCGGAGCCACTGCTCTCTGGCTGCATTTTTGGGCTTGTTGTTGTCTGTGTTTCGAACGCGTTCTGGCACCTTCTCCGCCTCCACTCGATCCAAAATACCGGTGAGTACCACGCAATTACGTGTAGCGATTTAAGTGCTCTCGGTTAGCGAGTCCGAATGGACTCATGGTTCTGTCTTTCAGGGAAGAAGCGGGAGAAGGGAAAGGGGGGGGAACG